GCAATTTGCAGCAACATACTGTTCGAGCTTATTGCTCGTACTATGTAGCAGCTTTCGTCAAACGTTCCTCCTGTCTTGACAGTAGGTGCGCATATCTGACACCCATATGCCTCTGAGTGGATTCCCACCGCATTCGGACCCATTGTCTTGCCTGCGCCGTTACACTAAGCAGCCTAAAATAGAATAATTTATGTAAATTATTACACAAACGTACTTCACAGGCGAGTTGCTTACACACCTAAGTTGCTTACTTTTGCTAAGACCCTACTAAACTACTCTTCTTACACTAATGCATTCCCTACAACACTACTTAAACGCGCTAAAAGAATGTTAGATACAGCTTATGCTCTAAGCTTTTAAATAAGACATAAAACTTTTAAAAAAATATGCTGCAGCTATATATAGAGTTTTATAAAAGATAATAAATAACTATAGCACTAGATAACTTTTATAAGCTAATTCTACAGCTAAATTATAAAGGCTAGGCAATAAAAAGAAGCAGGTAATTATTAAGACTATACTTAAGCTATATGCGCAAGGAATTTCCCCTTAGATAGTATTTATAGCTAATATAGCTAATTCTTTGCGCGCTAAGTGTAATCTAGGCTATGTTTATATAAACTAGCCTAGTACATTTATAAAGTGTTATTTAGAGCTTAAAGTAACATTTAAGCATAAGTATAACTATAAGAAAGCCTTTTATAAAAGTCTTAAAGTAATTTAAGGCAGGTTTAGCCTTATAAAGAATATTAAAGCTAAGTATAGCATCTAAAATAATAACACATACAACTTTAGTAAGATAGGCTTTATAATTAGCTAAATATCTTTTAACTATACTTACGCTTAAAACTTTACTTTAAGCTTTAAATAATACTTTATAAACATACTAGGCTAGTTTATGTAAATATAGCCTAGATTATGCTTAGCATGTAAAGAATTAGCTATATTAGCTATAAATACTATCTAAGAGGAAATTTCTTACGCATATAGCTTAAGTATAGTCTTAATAATTACCTACTTCTTTTTATTGCCTAGCCTTTATAATTTAGCTATAGAATTAGCTTGTAAAGGTTATCTAGCGCTATAGTTATTTATTATTTTTTATAAAACTTTATACATAGCTGCAGCACATTTCTTTAAAAGTTTTATGTCTTATTTAAAAGCTTAGAGTGTAAGCTGTATCTAACGTTCTTTTAGCGCGTCTAAGTAGTGTTGTAGGGAATGCATTAGTGTAGAAAGAGTAGTTTAGTAGGGTCTTAGCAAAAGTAAGCAACTTAGGTGTGTAAGCAACTTGCCTGTAAAGTACGTTATCTATTCTTTACTTTTTATTATTTACTTTTATTATCTTTTTTTTTTACTAAAGCTATAGAGTAACTAGTAAATGTTACTATACTTTTTATAAGCATTTAACTTATTGTCGCGTACACTAAGAGCCTTGGCTGGGGCTTAGAGCCTGGGGCGCAGCTCGGAGCCTGGGGCGCAGCTCGGGATCTGGAGATATTATGTTCCGAAGCTTGGTGTATATAAGGAGAGCCTTTAACTCTCTTAGATAGGAGAGTTACTTTATCTAATCTTCTAAACAGCTACTGCTAGGCTATTTTATCCTCTACAGTTATAGGCCTAGCGCTTTAAGAACCTAGTGTAAGGCCGGATGTCCCAGAACGGGCTAGTATAGCCTCACCTGACCTGTTTGGAGTTATCTCAGCAAGCTCAGACGGGATGGGGAGAGAGCCTCGACAGGGGCAAGCCCCTGCTAGTAGCCTCAGTGGCGCAAGCCCCATCTCTCTAGCTAATAAGGGTATAAGAAAGGCTTTCTCTCCCTAGCTGTCTAAGGGACTTTTGTGATTTTTTAGGTGATATTGTGGTTCTAAACCTCCTCCACTATGCACTAGCTTAACTAAGAATTACTGTAGCTCTACCACTTTTCGTCTAAACTAGGTTAGATTTTAATAGGTAATAGAGACAGTCTCTAGCTATATCCTAACATTTTTTATAACCTAATTCTAATAAGATTTAGCAGAGTATTGCGCTATTAAGTCCTGCGCAGGACATTTTAATAACCCTATAACTACACCTTAATGTGACTCCCTAACTACACAATATATTATCTTTAGAATTTAAGACCTGTCTAAGACAGGCTTTATTAGAGAGCCTGCAAAATTTTAGGAGATCTAGGCTGCTGGTTGTTAAGCTGGATAGTAGGCTAGGGACATCGCGATCTCTCTCATGTCTGCAGCTCAACCGGCTGTTGTCTGAGGACTCTGAGGATCTAGGAGCTGTCTCAGACTAGCTCTGTCAGGGATCCTGCAAAATCCTAGGGAATTTAGTCTACTAGTTGTTAAGTTCTAGTCAGGAGGGCAATACTATGAATCTGAAATTAGGGTATGGATAGGTTAAATTTCTGCGCGCGTTTAGATTTTTCTCTGCTAATAATAGTTAGAATTTAGTAAAAAAATATACTATTTTATAGCTACAGCTTGTCTCTACATTCTATTAAATTCTAAGCCTATTTAGACATATAGTAATAGAGATATTGTAAATCTAATTCTATTGTGATGCTCTTGAAATAGGCCTATTTATAGAAAAAATCACAAAAGTCCCTCAGACAGCTGAGGAGAGAAACGCTACTGACAGGGGTCAGAAA